TCTTCATTTTTGTCCTTTATCATTTAATAAACTCTAAACATAAAAATAAATAAAAATAAAACAAAAGTCAAACAACTGCATTCTTCCATTAATTTGTATTTTGAGGATTAAAAAAAGTACTTATATTTACTAGGATGTTTTCTTCTCTAATTAAATTTTTAAAAGATTTCTTTAAATTATCATTTATTATCCAAACATATTATCTTGTAAGAACCTGTAGTAGACTTAAAATCTTCAATCTTTTCCCAGTTTTTGATTTTTCACTGTGGACTAAGTAAAGTCTTTCTGTCCTTACTAAGGACAGAAAAACTTTACTCAAGTTTTTTAAAAGTCTTGGTAAGGAAGAAATAGTACTGCTCTTAAAGATCATATTCGGTACTCTGTCTTTAAAACATCACACTACACTAAGTTACTTTGGGACTTAGGTGTAAAAACTTTTCCGTCAGATTCAACATAAGTAAAGTATTTCAAAATATTATTTTAGGTTTTTATGAACTTTTTAAAAAGTTACTGGTAGAGTCTCCAGTACTAAGGATAAATTATTTTCAAAATAATTGACTTAAGCTAAATTGACTTAAATAATTGAGGCTTAAATATAATCAAGTCATTCAAAAGGATAGTACATGTAAGTTTTCACCTTGCTATGTGATATCACTACCATAATGAAACAGACTAACTGGCATAATGCAAATAAAGTGAGTTTCAAATAGTGCAAATACTTACTATATAACTTTTGTTTAGGAATCAAAGGATGAACAGTGGAAACGAGCCATGGATTATTTAAAAGTTGTCAATGAACTCAACTATATGACTCAGATTGTTATCATGCTTTATGAGGATCCTAACAAGGTAACTGAGTTCTTGATGTTTGTGTTACCAGGTATGAATAATAGCTTGAAGATCCTCATTTTGAAAAATGTTCTACAATATTTTTTAGGAACTTACCTCAGAGGAGCGCTTTCACGTTGAATTACACTTTAGTCCAGGAGCCAAAGGATGTGAAGAAGACAAAAATTTACCATCTGGTTATGGATATAGACCAGCTTCAAGAGAGGTAATGAAGATAAAACTCTTCAGTGATTGAATACTATAGCTAATAGACTTCATGAGCTTTCTGTAAGAATTTTTACTATGTGCTATAATATTATCTCAGCTATTAACTAGCAAGGTAGTTTAAAAATTTTCAGCTTGATTTGTGTATGCAACGTGATCTTTATGCATGTCTAAATACTTATTCATTTTATCTTAGATTTTTTGCATGTAAACCCAGTGTTTAGAATGGACAATGGTAGTTTTTGGCTTTGATTATTATTTTTCTTGAGAACTAGTTCATATCAAACACTGTACCAAGGATTTGACATGAATTCTGTATTTTCATCCTTAATATAACCTAACAAAGTTATATGTGTACTCAGTTTGAAACCTAGTCATTAAATTATAGTACATATTGATAATGGTACCTAAATTAAAAGGTCTAGCTTCATGACATTTCATAAAATGACCAGTTTTACAGTTGTAAAACTATTAGCAGCCATAGGTTGAACAGTACCATCATTCCAGACGACTTAAGTGTTCCCCTCCCTAAACATGCCCCGCTTTGTTCTTCCTATAAGTATTTAACAGTCATACTTTCTAGCACCATAGTATAGTTTTTCCATTTTTGAATTTTATGTCAATAAAATCACAAAATAAATGCTTGTTTTTGATGGAGCATGGGTCTAGCTTCTTTCATTATGTTTGTGAAATTGAAACATTCAGTTTTGCATTTTTGTTGCCATGTAGGATTCCATTAAACAATCAAAGCTCAGAATATTAATCTATTCCACTTTGGTGACCATATGATTTGGTATTTCAGGTATGAAGATGTATGCTTTTTATGAACATTCTTGTACATGTTTTGGTGAATATATATATACACATTTATTTTGGATATTTATACAGGAGCAAAATTTTCAGGTCACAGGCTACACATGTGTTCAGCTTAAAAAGATATAGTCAAGTAATTTTCTAAATAGTACCCTATCTTTCTCAGTACATAATATGGTCAGTGTTTTTAAAGCTATTTTGGGAAGGGTATATAGTGATACCTTCTTTTGCTTAAGTTTGTTTTGTCCTCAAGGTCAGTAAAGATTAACAGCTTTCAAATACTAATTTAGACCAGTGTATACTAATTATGCACCTCTGGATATGACTTCTTTGTGAAGTGCCTAGTCAAAGCTTTTAACAAAAAAAAATTGTCTATTTTTTTCCTACTGATTTGTAGTAGTGCTTTATGTATTTGGAATTTAAGGTCTTCATCACTTACTTGAAAATACCTTTTTCTACTCTATAATATCCCCTTTCACTCTCTTACTGGTACGTTTTGATTAGTAGAAATGTTCAGTATTAATGTCACCCCAGTTATCAATCTTTTCCTTTAGGTTAGTGCTTTGGTATCATTTTACTAGACAGTGTAAGTATCTTAAAACACTTTAATTTGTTAACCCCCATATCATACTGTGTATGTCGTTATCATCATATATTTTGATATATAATTTTGAAAATATATTTTAAACTCCACAGATCATTATTATTGTTTAAAATCAATACTCATTTAGACTTGGAATATTATGTATAATGTTTTAGAATACTGACTGTGTTAGAACAGTGTCCTATTGGAATGTATTATCATGTTTTCTTAGTGAAATAAGTATATGTGTCAGAGCTTGCATTCCAGTGCAGTTTAGGTCTTTTTATACATTTGGCGTTCTGACTGTTATTTACTTTTTCTTCCTTGCATCCCTTCTTCCTTCTGGTATCATATTCTTTCTTTTTTAATCTATTGAAGTTGACCTTTTTGGACATGGTATTTGAAATATACAGATAGATCATCCTTCTTTTCCACTGAGCTAATCCTAGCACCACATATTGACTCGTCCCTTCTTTCCCTGCTATGCGTAGTAACATTTCTTATGTTGTGGACATTTACTTTGTCCATATACTGGTAGGTTTGTTTCTGAACTTCCTAATATTCCATTCATCTGTTTACCTCTCGCTACCAATAACAGTCCTATTTTTAACGGTTTGCACCTTCTTACTGCTTTAAAATAAGTTTTTAAAATATGTGTGTTTTACTTTTTAACTGTGCTGCTGTTTTCCTATTCCATTGTAGTTGCATGTCAAATGTAATTTTTTTTCAGTTTATTACATTCTACTATGCAATTTTTGCAATTTGAAACAGTATCTTACTCATTTTGACCTGGTAGTTGTATGTTCTCAGTCAGTACTTAATGATTCACTGAATGATAGCTATTGATAAAATCATACATTTATTGGAAATACTTGTGCCATTCTTTCAAATTTATAAATTTAAATACTGTTTCAATTTGTAATCAGGTTGATGACATTCCTGTATAATGAAATTGATCTCAGTTCTTTCTTACTGCCTGTTATTGTTATTGCTTATGTGGGCATGTCGTGAAATTCAATGAAGCACTTGGTTTTACCTGGCTTTTGCTGTTATTTTTGTTTAATTTTCCCATAGTGTATTTCTTGAAGTTAGGGCCTCTGCCAACTATCTCACATCAGAAAAATACTAGCTGTTCTGACAATTCAATTAGTATTAATTTATTTAACAAACTTGTATATTCACTGAAAATGATGACACCATTTTTGGTTTAATTGCTTTATCACAAGAGATTTTTATTTTTCCTGAATTATATATGTTATTTGTCCACAGAATGAAGGTAGGAGATCTAAAGTTGATGAGGATGAACCACATACTTCCAAAAAAGATGAGCCTGATAGAGCTGTGATACTCTTCAAACCTATGGTATCAGAGCCGATTCATATACACAGAAAGTCTCCACTTCCACGCTCTAGGAAGATGGCTACAAATGAAGTAAGGATATGTATCAGACCATGTGTTTCATTAATTGAACTAACTATTTTAATAAGACAGAAAAGAAAATACAGCTTTAATTATGGAACTTTGGAACCTAACAGAATTTGTCAACTTGTCTAATATTCAAATAAATTTCAAAAACACAGAGGTAGTTAGAAAATATATAGATTATATACATATATAGTTTTTATAACAAAGTTGAATAGCAGTAGTAAAGTCCTTTCTAAGAACTTGATAAAATCACTCAATTTTTTTGTCTTGTAACTTTAGGTTATTCTTAAAGTCTGGTTTAATGGGTTAGGAGTATTTTTTGGTTTAAAGTACGGGCATTGCCAAAGATGCTTCACCAACAATTGATTCCAGTGATTGTAGATTAAGATGTGAAACCATAAATTATTAGCTTGATTCCAAAAATTAGCATAGGAATTTGAAAATTTCATGACATAGCTGAAGTTTTACTTTTCTATTAAATCTTTAATTAAATAACTCAGTCTTATGCTAATAACATGCTAGTAACATGGCAAATAACAAAAAGAATGAAGCTCATTTCTGGAGCCCCAAATTATACAAAAATAAGCACTCTAAGATTCTCAAATTTTAAATATGTAAGTGGCCCAATTAGACGATTACTTTTAGGGAAAATCCATTGACAAAATAGATTGTTATAATTTTATGTTGTAAATTGTATATTAGTTACTGTAACAGTGAATGTGATATTTTAAGTTAATTATAAACAAATATGATAAGTGACTGTAGAATTTGGGATTATTCTATTAAAGATTGATTAAAGTGAGTAATTGGGATTATGTTCAGGTATCCTTAATTTCAGATAATTGGGAAGTGACATACTAATATAGTGGAAACCACCACTTTGTGTGGGGCAGTGATTTTGATGTTGTTGGACAAAGCAGTCTGCAGTTAGTCAGATTGTTCAGAATTTCATCATTAAACCCTCTCCTGCTTTCCAAAAAACCCTAGCACTCATATAGCCAAATGTTTCATGTGTCTTATTTTGCAACTCACCTATTTTATAAACTCTTCAACAAAATCACTGCCCTTTGTTGGCCCTTAAAAAGCAAAACAGATTTATAAATCTTTTTCTCATAAATACTTAAATAGTTGCTTTCAAGAGATTATTTCTATGCCATGCTAAACTTTTACTTCTATAAGGTAAATTATTCAAGTAAAACCTTGAAGACTTTTTCCAGCGTCCACCACCTCCATGGATTTCAGAAGTTTGTACTTCCAAAAGACACACAGAGAAAAAGACTATTCTCTTCATTTTGTGCAAGTAGAATTTACTCTGTCCTCACTGTCTGAAACCTGAACATGCAAACATATAAGAGAATGTTTGCTGCATGTTTTGCTTACTGAACTCTGTTAATAATCTTTGGAGGGGGTAAACAAATAGATAACTTGAAAACTATAAGCAAGTATAGTTTGGATCCATCTTATGATTCTGATTTTTTTTAGTATGTGGCAGACAGATTTCCTTTTCTACATTTATGTGCATTGAAATCTCTTTTAACTCTGCAGTTATTTAGTGCTTTGGGTTGAAAAGTTACCCAATTTAGCATAAAATCTGATTATTTAAAAGTAAGCATAATACTTTTCTATTTTAAAAGTTGCTAAGATAAAAAAAAATTGAAATCTTTCCGATTTTAAGAGGGAAGGGACAACTATTAAGCAGTATAAGTATCTTGTTTGATTAAGGTAATCCTCATAATTGTTACCATATACAATTATTTATTCCTATTAATTTCAAACACTGAAATTTGGCTCCCAAATTACTGTTTAATAGTTTTTTTTTTAATTGATAAGCAAATGCAAACAAACTGTATTTTTTTTTCTTTCTGATCATTTGGCTCTGTTGTATCTAACTTTGCATGCTCTGCTTTTTTTTTTTTTTTTTTTTTGCCCCCTTTCTCACTTCCAGGAAGAGAGCCCCCTGAGTGTGTCTAGCCCAGAGGGTACTGATACCTGGCTGCATTATACCAGTGGTGTGGGTACTGGGCGTCGAAGACGCAGATCAGGGGAACAAATCACTTCTTCCCCTGTGTCCCCCAAATCATTGGCTTTCACATCCAGTATTTTTGGCTCATGGCAACAGGTTTTTAAATTTTAATTCATTAAACATTTTTCCTCCCTGCATTCAGAGCAACAAACAGCTGTCTTTGAGGACATCTAATCCCTTGAATTTTACATTAGAGTAAATCCTTCTGTTTTTTTAATTTTGAATTCATTTTAAAATGCTTGTGATATCAGACATTATTTGAGGGAAAGAAACCACTTGCATTGCATGTGTTTATGATTTTTATTGGGAGGTTTCAAATATCCAGGATTTTAAAAATAATAAATAAATTTTACCCTCCTGGAACTTTAACTTGTTAATAAACAGTTTGTAAACATAAAGAAATTTTTCTTTGACTCAGTTGTCCTTAAAAGGATTCAAGCAAACCTAGATAATTTGATAATAAAAAATTCATAACTCCCCCTGTATTCAAAAAATTAGATTCCATTTGGAATTTGCTGAGAATGTGAGCTTTTAAAAAATATCAAAATTTTTGTGGCCCCGTGTTAATTAGTAGAATACATCTAATACTAAATGTTCTCTCCCTCCCATTATCTGGAAGTATCTTTAAGGATACATACAGTATGGCTTTCTCAGTTATATAATATTTTAATGATCTCTTTAAGAGGTAATGAGTATATTTATATATATATACACACACACATGTGTGTGTGTATATACATATATATATACATACATACATCAATAATTTGAGTCAAAAAATATTTTAATGATCTCTTTAAGAGGTAATGAGTATATTTATATATATATACACACACATATGTGTGTGTGTATATACATATATATATATATACATACATACATCAATAATTTGAGTCAAAATAAAACTACTTCAGAAGGACTTTCTTTGATGGCATTCGGAAATTTAAAATATTCTTTAAATCAGTGAAAGATTGACTGTTACACATGACTTTTCAGAGAATTTCAGCAATTTCCTTTTGGAAATATAATGCATTTAATTATAGGAAAAGGGATTATGGTATCCATTAAGGCTGTGAATATTAAAGGTTACTCTGATAAATCCCGTGCATGGATCAGTAATTGTATGGTGACTTCAACAATCTCTGTCTGTCTTTTCTTTTGTTTGTGATTGTTTTTTCCCTTTCAAATACAGGAGCTGTATAAGAGTGGGCATTTGGCTTCTTTTAAGAGTGTGAAATTATATCAATCTATATTAATTATTTCTTTTCATCTGTCTTGTTTCATACATGATGTTTCATTCTGAATGCCTGCTTCGCACCACTTCATTGCAAGGACTCATATGAAATGGACACCCTTCAAAAGGGGATCTTGCATGATCTTTCATGTTTTATGTAATTCTACTAATATTTATCATACAGCTTATTAACCTTTGTCTGTCTGGAACAGGCTGCAAATGAAGTATGGACATATGGATTTATTTTACCATTTTACCTAATTTATTTTGTTTTCTTTACACAGGTTGTATCTGAAAATGCTAATTATCTGCGAACACCAAGGACTCTTGTGGAACAGAAGCAGAACCCTACTCTAGGTATGTAGTCTAAAGAAACTTGTATTCCAAACCTTGAACTCATTATTGTGTATACATGTAAAGCTTTTCAGTGGTGAAAGCATGACCAAATGCTATGCTTTAGTTTTTATTTAATATATACTAATTCAGAAATGTTGAATTGTGCAACCCAAAATAGACAAAAAAGTTTAAGAAAAAGGATAATAAATAGGGGCATGTTTTGTTTTTATAAGTCTTTTGATTGCCCTCAATATAAACTATTTAGTCCATTTGCCAAGGTTCATTTTTAATCTTGACTTCTATAAGTTGAAATGCAAACAGATTTTAAGAAGGAAACTTAATTTTCCCATTTGATTAAGATAAGCATATACTAGTGCATATAAGAAAGAAACATCTGCTTCTCTGATCAAAAAAAAAAATTTAAAGTAAACCATCTATGAGCATATTTTCCTTTGAGCGTCTTTTCAGAAAAACCAAAACACAGTGGCAATTTTACTCTATACTTATGTTAGCACAATGTCGGTTCTTTGCTAATGTTTGACCAAAGCAACATTGAAAAAGCCCTTTCTGAATTTATTTACTTTTATGCTCATTGTTGATCAAATGTATGAGGAAATGGCCTTTTATTATTGTCTAAATCAATAAAATCATATATAAGTTTTATAAGAAGTTTCAATTATGTATGTACTATAAATTCAATACTAAATCTATAAATTGTCTGTTGATGCCTGCATACTAAAGATCTTTCTTTAGTTGATCATATATCTTTTGTTGCTAGCTTTTAATATTCCCATAGTCTCATGCCAAAAATATCCATATGTGTTATATGTAATATGCATATGTTATACATGAAATGTATTTTATACCACACATACACACCACCCTTCCTTTTGGTGCATCTATAATGTATTTAATAGAAATTTACTTTATCACTCTTACCCAGTGGTAAGAGTATTGCTTGTGTGTAAAACTTTTGCTACAAATTAAGCTTTAATTTAAACTGCCTGTGTTTTATTTGCTGATAATGTGTTTTATTGAGGTATTATTACGGTCTTAAGACATTTAAGCATCAGAAATTTAAAGTGATTTAGCCCTCAGTGACTTAAAAAGAATTGTTTTCACCTGGTCTTTGCACAAATAAGTAAGCTTTGATTTACTTTACTTCACAATACTTATTGATAATTATTAATTCAGGGGCATAAAGAAAGATTTGGTTTTGTAGACATATATTCAAAAATATTGATTTAATAATTTAATTTATGTTAAAAGAGGTTTTTTACATGGCCTGTTTATGCATATTGGTTGAGAGAATCCCTTATCACCCTAAATTAATTTCATGGTAGTCTTTGTAATAGTTTTAATCTATATACCTAGTTACTGTATAGAAATATTATTTTCCTCCAAGACAGTATTCTTTTCCAGTGTTAAATACCTCCGGTTCTACATATGATAAATGGTGGTGATTATATTAAAGTTCACATTACAAGCTTATTGTAAGTCTGTTCAAGACATGTTATTGCATGCTGCATGAATTCCCAATGTGAATGGAAGAACACCCGTTGTTGTATGTATTTTCTCTAACTCCCATCAGGGTCTCACTGTGCGAGCCTGTTTAGCACCTCGGTGCTCGGGGGTTCTTCAAGCGCACCTAACCTACAGGATTATGCTCGTACTCATCGTAAAAAGCTGACCTCTTCTGGCTGCATAGATGGTATGTGCTCACGTGCACACACAGATTCATACCTACACTCATGCACACACCCATGAGCATATAGTGTTTCTCAAAGGCAAATCTAATCACTCACTGACTCAAATGGAATCCTAGCACCCTTTGCCTAAATGGGTATCAGTGTTGTGTTATTCACAGCTTGGATCCATCAAACAGCATTCAGTAGATTTGCATTACTTGCTCAACGAATATTTTGTTGAAATATGAAAGTTAGAACGGCATCGTGTGTATTCTTCTTCTAGATAATTAATGAGCCATACTCCAAAGAAGAAATATTTGATTTTTAAAAATGTTGTTCATTGTTAACCCTCATTTTACTTACTGCTAATGATTTAAAAAAGTGAACAGAATGTTTATAAGTAGAAGAAAATAACATGTTGATTATATTTTTACAAAAGGGAACAGATGATGAGAATATTTTGGGATCCCTACTTGAAGGAGATCTTTTCTATTGTTAATTTACCTAGTTTTTAATATTCAGAATGTCTTCTGGGGCTCATGGAAGCTAGCTCCTTCTGTCAATAGAGTGTTTGTTAACCCTTTCAGGATTAGCTTTATTTAAAACGTTTCCTCATATATCTACAAATTTATGGTAGTCAGTAAAACATAGATTACCAAATTGCCAGCGCATTCTGCTTCTCTTTCCTTTATATATTTCATCAACATTTTGCCTTTATCATCAAGCCATATCAGTTATTTTAACTAGTATTTTGGCTTATTACCTTCTCTCTTTGTGCCTTCTGCATGTCACCTAACTCTAACTTCTTTTTATATTTGTTTTTCCCCTCTTTTTTTAAGTGTCCTTCTTTTGATAGCTGTTATGAATTTCAGGTACCTGTTTTTCTCTTTCTCAGACGCCACACGCGGTTCTGCTGTTAAAAGGTTTTCTATCTCATTTGCTCGACACCCAACCAATGGTACGTTTTGCTTTTATTTTAAAAGATACTCCCCTGTTTCACCTTTTTTATTTTACTTTTATTTCAAAATGTGGGGTATACAGTATCATTCAGTTCTGTCCCCTTAGTTTCAGTTGGCATACAGTTCCAACTTACTGTTCTACCGAAGTATTGATACTGTCTAGCTCCTACTTCTCACCTTAATTTACACAGTAGCTTAATACAACTCATCAAATTTATAAATGAAAACAATGATGAGTTTTAATTATAATTAATAACTGTAAATTCCATGTAATTTCTCAAGTGATCAGTCTACACAAATTTTAAAATCGCAACAATAGTCTTTAATTTCTTTGTGTTTTTCTTGGTAATTTTTTTTCTTCTTAATTCCTTTTCTGATCACTTTTTTTGAGCATTTAATAAAAATATAGAGGCACTCTTTTCAAATAGCAAAATGAGATGTATCATTTAAAACTTTATTTGGACCCAGGGCTGTAGGTTTCACTGTGTAATATTTACCTTGGCTCTTTTTCTAAGAAAATGTGACTTGTATTGAGCATTCGATAATTTCAGTTAGCATTGCAACTTTCTCCTAGTATATGTAGCATCTTGTTAAAATATGGGAACACCTAATAGGAAGAAGACTAAGGTAAACTCTAGCAAGGCATACTCAGTTTACTTTTAAAACTGTTAGGAAAGTTTTTGTGGACATTAAAAAAAAATTATAAATTGAATTGGACTCTTATAGCCTTCTCACACAAAGTTTGTTTTTGTGGGACAAGAGATGCATTTATTGATCATTTAAAAATAATTCATAATCAGAGAATTTATAAGAAAACTTTTTTTTACTTTTATTTGAAATGAAGATAATTTATCCCTATAACTTTTTCTTTTTAATTGTAAATAGGTCTTCAAACAATCAGGTCTTTCAAAAAACCTTTATCAGATTAAAGGTCTAAACACTAGTGTTTAATCATTCTCCCTCTTTCAGATCCTTTAATAGCAAAATTAAATAAAAGTGCACTAACAATTCTTAAAGGTGTCATAAGATCCCATTCTCAACAAGTAAAAATTTAGCTTTAAAGCTTAACGTGCTTTTGCCTCCATGATACCTGTTTTTCTTTGAAGAAAAAAATCCCTATTTGATATAGTTGCAGCTTCTAAAACCAAAGACAGAAGAAAAATAGAAGTCACAAAATTAGAATGCAAGTTTTAAATAAGAGAAATCTGTGTTTACTGGAGATTTGAAGAAGCAAATACATTTAATAGAAAATAGAATAATTTTATATTTCCTTGGTTTAAGCTTTAAAAAACAATGTGTACTCACACACTATGCAATTTAATGCACTTAAAATGTATTTCTTTCAACACTTGATATATTTCTTTAATGTTTTCAAGATTTCTTTTTTCTTTTTAATACTGTGTTGTCTTACCTGTCCTATGAATTGTCATTTGACCCTTTCACATTTTATTTCTCCTAACTTTCATTATTTTCACCTTAACACATATCCTGGACTTATCCCTGCCTTCATCTTTAGTTCAAGGAACATGGTGAAACAAGTATCTTCCTACAGTGCTTTACCTTATTTTCTGGGCCTCTGTGCACAACACCCACACCTCTATAGGTGCTGGTCCATTTCCTCTGTGGAATTTCTAGGCTCCTGTGGTATGTTTTCCTAGCATCTAAACGTGACAGCAGGGTGGCTTTTAAATTGCTGTGCTAACCCTTTCATTGTGCATTAAAGAGAACATATACTAAAGATAAATAAAAAAAGCTGTAGCCCAGAGGAACTTGGTTATATGTCATTTGTCTGCTATGGAATCTTAACAGGCAAATACAAGAAAATAATTGTTACAAATGACTTATAAACATTCTGAAGAAAGGATGTTAAGTTTAGTGTAATGCAAAGAAAGGGTTTGCGCTTATTTGCATGAATCTTGTACTTTAAACAATTATAGTTATTGTATAAGCCTAATTTCTTAGTGCTTAACTTAGGTGCTTTAGCTGCTGTTACAGTTTTATTGTGTTTTTTTTTTAAGTGTTTGAAATATTCTGTCATATTTTGGTTTGCTCATGAAAATCAGATGTTACAGTTTTATAAATCATTTGGTTGTTTTCAAAGGAAAATTAGATTCTCTTTTAAACAAAATTTTCCTATTCTGCCTGAAAATTAGGCAGTTCTTAGGTCACTATTCCCCCACCACCAATTGAATACATCAAATAAATACTTGATGTATACTTGTTGGATGTCATTTTATAAAATGAGCACGTTTATTGAAGCACATTTTTGCTATTTGAGTTTAATGGTAACTTTTATTTAACAGTTTTAATCTTTATATGAAACATTAGTTTATGTATCAAAGGTGTTTCATTGGGAAGAATATTAGTTTGAATTCTTGAAAGAGTAAATACAGAAAGACTTGTTACTTTAATAATATATGAAAGCAATTTTAAAAGCCATTCAGTTGAAAGTCAGGCAATTTTTATTAAAAAAAAACAACATATCCTGTTTGTCAAAGAAGAAGATCTATGTTTAAATGCTTTTGTTTCATTGATGGTGTTAATATATAACTGCATGGTTTGTTTTATAAAATTTTTGTATTTCTGTGCCATTGTTGAATGCAGATGTATTTGTATTCTGTATTGTGTTTTACATAGCCTGACTACTCAGGTGACAGTTGCCAATAATAGACTTTTGTGTTAATTCATAGAGATATGTGAAATATGTTGCAGGGTTTTAATTCCAGCATAAATGAATGAATGTTGTTTGAGGTAGCAGTATTGTTGACCTCGATATAACTAGGAAAGTATTTAAAATTACTCTTCTCAGTTCTTTACGTAGTTGTTTTTCAGTAAATTATCTTTAGCTTTGTGGCACCAGGGACACATCATGGCATTGGTTTAGTCACCTATCAAATAATCCTGATTTTAAAAAAGTAAAAGTTGAAATACTATATTTTTGTCTCTCCCACCCCTTCCCTGATTTTTAAAGTATTCTTGGATTTTACCAAAATACAGAATGAAATTGTATGCATGCTGTACTATGTGATTACATTTAAATGAAATCTTTGTCACATCTTGTTCCAACCCCATATTGCATAGCATCTGGTGTCATGACTTCAGAATATTATGTGTTTGCATGTACTAGATTAAAAAGAATTAAACTTTCTAGTTCTAAACAATGGTCTCCCACTTTAATGCATTGCAGTTTAAAATGTATAACTTTTGTTTTCATTTTTGTTTCCCCCCCCCAGGCTTTGAGTTATATTCCATGGTGCCATCTATTTGCCCGCTAGAAACTCTTCACAATGCCCTGTCTTTAAAGCAGGTGGATGAATTTCTTGCTTCCATTGCTTCTCCATCAAATGAAGTTCCACGGAAGGCTCCTGAAATTGGTAGGAAAATTTACCTTCATTTTCATTCAATTGATTGTTGAGGCTAGATACTATCAAATATTAAAAAAAAAATTATGAAATCCTAAACTTAAATAGTGGTAGTACATAAAATTTTAGAAGAGAAGGGAACATAAATGAGTATTTGGAAATTTTCTGGACAATATACAATGTACTTCTTTTCTTGACTTGTCCCAAAAATCATTTAACTTACAAAATGGAAAATCTGAGATCCAGCAATAAAAGTCAACAACATAATATAGAAATGTGGTCATTTGTCAATATTTTTATTATATGTCATTTTATAATAAACTTTAAAAAATTAATAAATTGTGTCTACATTATTTCACACATACCCATACCCTCAGCACTTTTGGTAAGTAGCCATACTGATTTAGAAAATGCTATTGACTAAAGAACAAAATAAGGACAGTAGTTTTTCAAATTTTTGTGTGCTCCAGAAAATACTCTGAAGAGATTAATTTGTGTATGTAAAGAAAAGGGGTTCATTGCCAAGAAAGTAAATTTTGGAAATTGTATGTTATATTGCACCATCCTTTGAAGAGATGCAATTATATTAGCATATCTGTAAGGGTCTTCTATGTCCAGATTTTCCAAAATTTTTTTAGAAAACACTTTTTAAACTTTAATTATGTATTTTATACATGTCTCCATAATATTATAATTTTAAAGGTGGTCATCATAAAGTTTTCAGATGATATTTCACATTTTTCTTTTTCGTGCTAAGTCTTTAAAATCTATGTATTTATAGTTATAATCTCCTCATGTATCAGTTTTCAATGCTGTATATGGTTCAGAAGTAAGGATCATACATTTTCAGGTGTATTTTTGCCACACTACACTCACCAGGACACTTTTATGGTAATACAAAATTTTAAACATATAGCACTATCCGGAGGCACATCATTTTGAAAAATGCTCAGGACTACCTTTTTAGATGTGAGAACTTAGCTGACTATTCCCATTTTCAACTGTCTAAGATCCTTCACCACATTGGAATTTCCAGTTTGATAAGTGTGAGTTTTGGAAGAGAATGCTCTGCTTAGAGTTAAGAATCTTGCTAGTACTACTCATATCTTAGGAAAGTTCCAAACTTTCTATTTATAACATTCTCCTATTTTATAGGCGAATGCTGTAAATATATTTCCCTCAAGAGAAAAATCAGAGGTCTTAGAATGAAAGCCACCTCCATGTCTTATTATTTTCTTCCCTTTCCTGGATAACCACATTATTATTACTATAGAAAGTTTAGTCCACGGTGTACTCTGTACAAAGCCATTCCTGTGTTTCTGCAGTATGATGAGCTTCCTTTTTTCTTTGTTTCTGTAAATAGAGGTTGGCTTTCAGTCATTAACAGTGATGGATAGTTATTTTGGTTGAGGTTCTAAATATGTCAGGTTGGGAATGGTTTTGGGGAATAGATTTTAATTTCAAAATTTGCATGTGGAATGTTTGATACTGAGCACTGATAAGAGTACAAATGAAATCACTTCTCCAACCTGTGTCAAGCCAAGAACTTCAAGGTTGTTCATCTCCTTTAAATGATAACAATAGGCAAGGTTACTCCTTTTAATGTAAGAGAAAACCTAAAGTTTCATTTCCCCATTTCTGCCTCTTTATGATTTATGTTCTACTGCCTTTTAATTTGAAATATTAAAATAAAGATAAAAGAGTCTAATGAGTGAATAAGAACTTAAAAGAAACAACAAAGCTACTGAAAATTTCCAAGATGTCAAGTGAATGACTTAAAGATAATAGCAACAATGATGACATCTGTTTGCCTTGGAAAAAGAATCTTGATGAAATCTATACAAAAAGATAATCTTTAAAGATCTGTTCCCTGATGCTGTTATTGTATGATAACTTCATTTCTGTGGTTATTGAATTTATCAGGGTGTGTATACTGTTGAGGTATATTATTAGTAAAGTGAAGAATATTCAATCCTCTTGCCTTTCTCACTAGCTCTTCTGTATATCATGGATGCTGGTTGTATCCAATCCCTCCAGCTTTTCATGAGTTCATGACATTACATACTAGGGGAACTAGATGAGGAAGTAAAAATCATTAATACAGTTAGTAGAATTTAATAAATTTTAGAGTTTATCTAGTTCATTGTTCTTCAAATTATATTCCCAAGAACTTTTGGACTTTTACCTGTGGAACTTATATTCATTGAGTGAATCATCGACCATCCTAAGGCACATTATTTTGTAATTGGCCCATGTACTGATTTTTCAGAAACACATTATTTATTGCTATCAGATTCACCCCCAGAATTAGCACAGATGGGCTAATCTGTTTTTATCTCCCTACATCCCTTTGTTTAAGAACCATATACTCATGTTACTATTTTCTCACTCTGGCCTATCTTCCCCAAAAGGATGAGTACTTAAGAGTTATCCCTACTTTGCCTTTTACTCCATTTCCTCACCTTGACTAGAAAAAGAACCCTTTTCCTGAAGATAAATCTCAACTGGGTACTATAGAAAGATAATGTGATTTTTTAAATTATTTCTTATCTCATTGCTTTATTCTTAAATGTAATAGTTTAATAGACTATAGTGCTTATAGAGAATAATCCCTGAATCACCATTTCATATTTTTGATAGAAAAACAATGTTGAAAACTCTTGTCTTCTGTTTCCAGGAAATAAAACTCTGTCATCAGTTCTCTGCCATCCCTTAAGAATCTAAGTTTCTATCAGGGAAGAGTAAATTTAAGTTGCTGCTACATTATTATAGATATTTCTCTGGTGAATACTGGTAAATACTTATTGTTTATAATATAAACAGAATAGTTATTTGACCAGGAGCACAAGAAAATGTTATAATGGTAAAAGTGGTTTTATAGAATTTATTTTGTAAGCCTTAACCTTATCTTTTTTCTCCTACTAGTATTCATAGGACCACTAATTTGTCATAAGAAAAAGCTTAAAGTGAGACTTGGATGCGAGACCTGGAACCAAAAATACATAGAAGCAAAAAAAAAAAAATAGGCAAAATACTGTACAGCATTGTCTTCAGTCATCTCTTTGTGTATTCATCTCCAGTGGCAAAGAGAATATAAACAAATGGGATTATATCAAACTAAAATTTGCATGGTGAAAGAAGCTATCAATAAAACAAAAAAGAATTTCTGCTGAATGGGAGAAAATATTTGCATATTAGACATTTGACAGGTGCTGATACCTAAACTCTGCCAAAAAAAAAAAAATTAGCCAAGAAGTCATAAATTCAACAAAGGAAATAAAGAGCCAAATCAAAAAATAGGAAGAAGAATTAAAGAAATACCTGTGCAGGGAAGACAGATGGGCAACAAACACAGTAAAAGATGCTCATTATCACTTACCAGGAAAAAGATACAAGATATATATGGTCCATATATAAAAGGCAGAACAGCAGGGGTTGGTTAGCAAGGCAGGGAGAAAAAGGAACCTGTGTCCACTGTTGGCCCAGCCCCTGTGGAAAGCAATGTGGAGGTTTCTCAGTATATTAATAGATCTACCAAGTGACATGACAATTACACTCATAAATATCTATTCAAAAAATGCAAAAACACTAATTCTGAGGTATATATGTATTTCTATATTCATTGAAGTACTATTTACATCATTACTATCACATGGTTACTATGTCTGTAACCATATTATGGGAACAACCTATGTGCTTAAGGACAAATGAGTCAGGAATATTTGGCATATATACACAATAGAATACTATTCCGCTATAAAAAAAAAACAAAAAACTTTTCCATTTGGAATAATATGAATGGAACTGGAGGAGAAAATGTTAACAGAAATACGTCAGGAGAAAGACATAAATACTGGATGCTTTTCCATATCTGTGAAACATCAAAAAACGAACAAGGTCCAACAGAGCCACCAATAACAAATCCTAAAAATGAGTAGACATGAGGCTACCGAGGAGGAAGGCTAAGATGGAGAGCAAATATGGAGGGTCCCAGAGGGCTGTGGTGGGTGCCTTGGCATGGTAACATACGTCTGAAGAGGTGTGATCCTGTGTCTTTGAACTGTATACAGTGTTATAAAGTCAAGTTACTTCAATAAAAAAAGAAAATGTGAAGGTAGAATTGTAGGATATTATTGAATGACCATGCATATTTACTTTTTTCTCAGCCTCTACAACTTCCCGTACCAGCCCATTAATGAGAAGAAAAGTATCTTTAAATACATACACACCTGCAAAGATCCTTCCAACACCACAAACTACCTTAAAGTGTGCTAAAGCAAGCAGTAAACCAGGTGAGGAGTGTCTGAATTTGTTAATTCTCTATAGCAATTAGAGTAATAATACTTTTAAAATGTATGTCTGTTTTTAAATAGGATCATTCTACTTTCTACAGTGTAAGGAGTAATCCTAAGTGTTTAAAATCTGTTACTTATACCTATTGAAGTATTGGTATTTTTTCTCTGTGAATTACTCTTCTTATCTTCTCTTATCAATTATAAAGTATTTCATACTCACTTTTATCCAAATTAATTTATGAACTATTTTCTCTTACACTTTTCTGTTAGGCCTAACCATCACTTTAAATAAAGATTTTTTTTGTTGTAGTTATAGCATTTAATCTCCATTCTTAGTCTGAATATAAGATTACTAAATTTTGGCTACCTTTAATCAGCTTTTTCCTGTTTTCACTTCTTGACTCATTCGTGTTATTAATCATTCACTTGTCCTAATGTTCAATCAAAATACTATATAATTAGGTGTTTCTAATATTTCTCTGATTCTTCTACTTTTCTTGATTTTGATATTTCTTCTAATTTGCTATATCAAATGGGACACTCAAGTGTGTCCTTTTTTTTTAAATCCTGTACTTTAAAAAAAAAAAGATTTATTTATTTAATGTTTACAGAACTGAAGTGCAGGCCAGAGGTACACGGGCAGTGAGAGGATTCACCAGAAACAGAGTGGGGAGCAGAACAGGCAGATTGAAAAAGTAAACTGCTATGGGAATCAGTGGACAGGTCAGAAGAGGTCTGTGGCAGCATGTGGTTCACGCTGTGGTTAGGGATCGAACTCAAACTCGCAGTGAGGCTGCTACGGCTAGCTAGCTTGCCATGCCACCTTTAACCTGCTGCATCACCTAGGAGGGCCAACCTTTTTTCTTTAGAGAATTTTGCATAGTTCCAAGGTTTTGGCTGTATCCTCATTAAAGATGTCTGTTATTTTCTTCTTTTTAATGCTTTCACATATGCTTCTGGTTAACAGTTTTGCTGGAAGGTCAGAGGAATCTATATTAAAACAACAGCTCTGTCACTTATTAGGTATATGAACTTGGGCAAGTTACTTAACCTCTCTGATCCATAGTTTCAAAATCTTAAAATTAGAGTAATAGTACTTCTTATATTAGGTTATTAGCAATGAACACAACAACATATATAAGGTTCTCGGCATGTGTAGTAAATACTCATTGAATGTTAGCAGCTATTGTTGTCATTACTTCATCGCCAATATATGTCCTCCTCACCACTCCCCAAGTAAATTCCCATAAGACTCATGTCATTTCTCTGTCTTTTAAATGTTCCCTTTGTTGCTTACCAATTTTCAAAATCCAATTCAACTCTTCCATTGATGATATGACTATCAAAAGAAGAATTCCAGTATTATGCTATTCACTTGATCTATGATACCTGATCATAGTTCTATCAGATTACTAGGCCTTACAAGCCAGGGCCAGATTTGAATCTTTTACCTTCTTTTTTATTATTATTATTTTAAAGATTTTATCTATCTTCACATAGAAGAACTGAGATGTAGGCCAGAGGTGAGGAGGTGAGAGGATTCACCAGAGACAGAGTGGAGAGCAGGAAGATCTGACAAAATACAGTGCTAAGGGAAGCAGCGGGGGTTGAACTCAGGCTGCACAGGAGATAGCACTAAGTCTTAATCCCCAGACTACGAGGGAGGCCCTGAACTTGTACATTTTAAATCTGTACATACAACTATAGAAAACTGAAAAACATATCTTAAAAGTAAATTATGGTATATTCCATATATACTCAAAGCTAATGTTTTGTAGTTTGTTATTTCTACTGCAAAGTACAATCTTAAGAGAGCAGTACTGTTGCTATGTCCATTACATATGAGGAAAGTTACAGATAGGTTGTGACTGATCTATAAAAATGAAATAAATGGAGTTATATTTGATGTTTTAACTATAATCTAAGTCAATCATGCATTCTAGGGATCCCTACTTGATCATGATTTGTAGGGGTGTGTGTGTGTGTGTATGTGTGTGTGTGTGTGTGTGTGTGTGTGTGTGTAGAGCACGCTATATTGAGGATTTCACACCTGAGTTTAAGAAGAATATTGATCTCTAGTTTTTGTTGGTAACATTTTTGAAGTTTTGGTATCAGGGTAATTTGGGCCTTATAAAATGTTTTCCCATGGCAGTTAAGATACATCCTTGTACATTGCTAACAGGGTTGTAAAATGGTACAGCCATTTTGGAAAATAGTTGGCAATTCTTCAAAATGTTAGACATAGGGTTATCCCATGACCTACCTAAAGAGGTTTTTTTTTTTATTGTCCACACAAAAACTCTTAAAAAGAAAAAAAAAAGGCCAATCTTTGAGATGTGAGGCTTTTTATGGCTTGACATTTAAACTTTGCACATTTTAAGGTGACAAGTACACTTGGGTTGCTGTTTGGGATTTTTGGTTAGTGATTATTGTAGGGATTTTGTTTATATAACTTTATATTTTTGGAAGTTAAATATACAACTGGTAGAATACAGAGTTTGGAATCATCTCTCCTAAAAGCAGTAATTAATGAAAAAAATTTGCTCAAAGGGAGGCCCAGAAGTTCTCCAAAAGAATCCCAGGTCTACTGTAGAGATCTTGAAGTAGGGTTGGTGGCTGCTGAGGAGAAGTGGAGGAAGCAAAGGAATTTGACCTGGAGGGTAGATATTGCAGCCACTAGGAAAGGCGAGGCTCAGCCATCCAAGACACATGGCACATCAGGGTATTGCAAAATTCCCTGCATCTGTGAGTGTACAAGTACACCTGGCACACTGAGAATTCTGTGACTGGTGTGGGTGACAGAAGTTAGGTCTCTTAGTGGTTCTTTTATTATTCCAGAGATTTCCTATATATGTGTTTGCTATAAGCATATTTTCCATTGTTTTTGAGCATGGTAAATAATTGATTTAAAATTCTTGTCTGCTCATCTGGCAGATCTCAAGATTGGTCTCAGTCACTTTACCTGTTCTCAAGAAGAAAAATGTTTCCCTCTTTTCGTTTATTGAAAAATTCTGGATTGTACTGTCAACATTGTTTTGTAGAAACTCTGAAGTCTGTCATTTCCCTTATGTTCCTTTACAGAGATTGGGAATATTTGGGTTTTGTTTAAAGCAGAGTTAACAACGTGACTGAAGTTGATTACAAAACTATGTCCCTTGAAGTGATTGGAGCTCAAATTTTACTCACTTCTTTTAGCCTCAGCAGAACCCCTTGATGCTTACTCTGCCATACATTTTATCAGGATTTGTTGAGCTCTGTCTCTTGCTATGATTTGCTACCATACTTTCTAACAGCTATGGTTGCCCTAATATTTGTCTTCTGTTTCCTCATGCTGGTAAGACTGAGGGGATTTTTTTGTAGTTGCAATTTTAGACATTCCACAGGTAAAGACTGAATCTTGTCTTTAGACTAAAGGCTATTAAAAAACCCATACCATGTTGTTCCTTTCTTTAAAATGCTGATTCTTTTCCAATCTATGCCTGGTTTTGTTCATTCTTCCTTGTCTTCAGGTGGTTGTTTTTTATATTTTATCTGGAACTTATACTTATTATCTGTATTGATCCACAGGAGCTTTCTAATCTCTGCCAGACAGTATAAGTCTACTTAAAATAGCGTTTAAAGAAATCATTAATGTCTTGATGTTGGTTTGGATATTGAAGGATCAGCCCTAAGTAAAAAACATTTCTAGTTTTCTAAATTTTTTAAGTTTTCCAGATAGTGGTAAATAAGAAACATAACTGAAAGTTTATTTTTATAGTTAAGTGATTAGGTTAAGGTTATATTTTCTTGTCAGGTATCTATATTGAGATTTCCAGTTTGATATTATAGTCCTATTATATATATGTCCTATTTTTTATACACACACATAATACATATGTGTATATGTGTGTATGTATATATAAAATATATGTGTGTATACATAATACATATGTATATGTATATGTGTGTGTGTGTTAATGTAAGGATAAAAGCCGTAGTCCAGGAGTGTAAATTTGAAGATTGTTAGCAGAATAGGAGGTAGTTTAAAATAATAGAATAAATTCTTCCATTTTCTTCACAGGAAGAATACAACATTAAAAGATAGTGGTTTGATGAACAGTTCATTGACAATTACTTTTATGAATTAGTATTAAATTCTAAAAAGTAGTTCAAAAATGCTATATTAAATGTTTACAACGTAATTGTAATTGTCAATGTAATTGTTAAAAATTATGTAACAATGTAATTGTTAAAATGTAACAATGTAATAGCAATTATAACATTAAATGAATGAGTCACTCAGCATTATTATTTGAATTCAGAGTGGTTGTGAAAATCTAAGCAGTATTTTTTTTCTTTTTTTGTATAGCTACCAGTGGACCTTCCAATGCAGTTGTTTCTAATACCTCATCTCGGAAAAAGGGTATAACTACCAAAACAGAAACGCATGATCACAAAAAAACTGCTGGGAAAAAGAAATGAAATCTTCTTAACAGAAAATGAACTCCTTCTACTTAAGAAAAGTTTACGCTAAGTAGAAAAGACACCTATTAAACCGTGACTGGAGACTGTCAAAGCAAGTAATTTATGTTTGTCCCTTTTCATCTCTGTTTTCATTTTAAAATATGTTAAATGTAGAGAATTCATTGTATGTATTCAGATAAGGAACTTTTAGGATCTGGAAGTGGTTATTTGCATTTTATAAGTAGCAAAGCAGTTATAAAGGTCTGTCATTTTAATGTGATGTTTACCATGTGCCTGTGTTTTCTGAAAAAAAGGAACATAAAAGCCCAGATAGCCTGAACCAATGTCATAGTAGTGAAGTTATTTATTAAAGAACTATAAGGTGACCTCTGCATACTTTCATTTTCACAGGATTTTATCTTGGCTACCTAAACCTGTAGCTCAGCTTGAAAATTGATAGCTAGGAATACATATTGGGAATTTTTAAAAGGTGTATTTCCAAAGATATGTCATTGCACATTTAGATTAGACGCACCCCTGTCCCAGTTGTTATAACTGCATATATGCTGCAATATTTAATAACTGGAGTATAGCATATTAGCATATGGATTTGTTTGTGTTTTTCAATCTGTTCTTTGAATTATTTTGTGTTATTTAAAATATTACATATACAGCTGGGATACCTATACATTTATGGACATAAATTTGTATATTAATTTGTATGAAATAATTTCTTTATTTCTTTACCATAAGGTGCTTCTACTCATCAGGAAAAATTTGCTTCTTATATTGGCAAGAAAACTATCTTTAAAGTTTCTTTTAAGAGATATGGTTGACAAGTTTATAAATGTTATACTAATTTTCTGAGTTCTTTTTAGATCTAAGTAACTCAGTTCAAAAATGGAAATCATCAATGTGAGAAGAATATCTCAATTCTATAGTTAGTAGATATTATATGTCATACTGTTTTTACCATTTCAGCTCCTATCTCTAGTGTATCAGTTGATCTCACAAAAAAAAGCTTGAAGATTGAGCATTTGAAATAAATGCACCTCTCAAATGATTAGATTTTTGAAGAGAAATTGATATCATTGTGTTATGAATTCATCTATGATGTGAAAAAATATTTATTATCCTCGGTGCTTTTTTTTAACCCTGATACACAAATAATTATGCATTTGAAATGACTTAAGCTATAAAGCAAACTGTTCAACCACTTAAGAATTCCATTGTCAGTCAAATAATTTAAATTGCTAAAATTTAGCTTGAAGCTTATGTTTAGAAAAATTAATGAATTCTCATAGGAATACAACTATTAAAATTCTTTAAGAGACTCTTTCTAGTCATCATATATGAACTGACTTTTAGAAGATAAGCATATTACATCTAAGTTATAAAAGGTACTAGATGCAAAAGTCACAAATATGTATGTGCAACTGTGTAAGTTTGTGTACTTCTCATGAATGTGAGTATATTATATGGTGACATGCCTTGTAAACAGTTGAATGTTCCTAAGCTTTCTGTATCTGAAAATGTGGCTAATATGTTTTATTGTGGGAGTAAGAAAGCTGCTTTTATTTTTTAAGTGAAACTGAATTAAAATATTTTATTTCCAGAATCCTAGTGACTTAATTGGAAAAATTATTTTTCATTTATATTCTTTACCTTTTTGTACTTTTAAAATACAAAGAAAATGATTTTACTTTTAAATTATTTATTTTTGGTGTTAAATAAAATTTAATATTGGCTACATACAGCACAATACTTTGCTTTCCACAGAAAGGGGGAGTCACTTTTGATAAAGATTTCAAGTAGAAACAGCTCTACTTGTTTGTTTGTTTTTTCATTTATATATTTTACACCGTTTTTTTAAATGAGTTTTTTCATTTATGCATACCAGAACTGGGGTACAGACCAACCGTGGTGGGGCAAGAGGATTGACCAGAGACAAAATGGGGAGTAGAACATGCAGATCTACTGAAATACACTGCTGAGGGGAGCAGCATGCGAGGGAGGAGTGGTCCACTGTGCCATATGACCCCCACCCCGTGTTGCAGAGGCTCCATGCAGATAGCTTCATAGTGTTATGCTCTAACCCCTTGAGCCACCAGGGAAGCCCCCATTGTTCATTTTTGTATATCACTTGACTTCTTCTCAGGTATTGTCCCCATAAAATTACCATCACCAAGACACCTATGAATCACCAGTGTTATAGAATCTTGTACTCTTCTCTCCCATTTTGGTCACTCATTTCCACCTCCACTACTGAATGTCTCCAACTTACAGTTTGCTAGTTTTGTCTTTTCCCTTCCCTCTGACTTATTTTACTGAGCATAGTCCCTTCCATATCTATCAATGTTGCTGAATAGCATAAGTTCATCCTTTTTTATTGCTGAGTAATATTCCGTGTGTGTGTGTGTGTATGTGTGTGTGTGTGTGTGTGTGTGTGTGTGTGAGAGAGAGAGAGAGAGAGAGAGAGAGAGAGAGAGAGAGAGTGACTTTCTTGATCCAGTCATCTGTTGGGGAGTATTTAGGTTGTCTTCATATTTTAGCTATTGTAAATACTGCTGCAAAGGACATAGGAGTACAGGTTTCCTTGATAATTCATGTTTTTGTGTCATTTGCATAGGTTCCTATGAGTGGAATTACTGGGTCATATGGTAGATCCATTTTTAATAATTTGAGCATCTTCACACAGCTTTCCACAGTGACTGAACCACTCTGCCTCCCCACCAGCAGTGTAGGAGCGTTCTTTTATCTCTACGTCTTAGCCAGCATTTGTTGTTTTCACTGGATGAGATGATATCTCATTGTGGTTTTGATTTGCATTTCACTAATTGTAAGGGATGTTGAGCATTTTTCATGTGCCCATTGGCCATCAACATTTCTTCTTTGGACAAGTATCTGTTTAGCTTTCCTGTCCACTATTAGACTGGGTTCTTTGTTTTTGTTGAGGTCCGTAAGTTCTTTATAGCTCTTTGGTTTCAATCCCTTATTAAATTTTGTGGAGTGCAAATGTTTTCTTCCAATTTGTGGGGTGTCTCTTCATCTTGGTTACTGCATAGATGCTTTTTAGTTTGATGTCGTCCTAGCTGTTTATCTTTTCCTTCATTTTCTTTGCTTTGGGAGGATGACTTTAAAGATGTTTCTGAGATGTTTGTCTTGAAGTTTTTGCCTGTGCTTTCTTCTATGTATTGTATGGCTTCAGGTCTTACATACAGGTCCTGTCTCCATTTTGAGTTGTTTTGTGTGTGTGTGTATTGTTTAAGATAGTAGTCTAGTTTCATTCTTTTGCATGTGACAGTTTTCCTGGTACCATTTATTGAAGACTGTCCTGTTCCATTGCAGTCTTTGTTCCTTTGTCATATTTAGTGATCATATATGTGTGACCTTATGTCTGGTTTTCTATTCAGTTCCATTGGTCAAAACAGCTCTATGGAACAGAATAGTGTGTACCAAAATAATGCCATATAAAACTCTATTGTATGGGTTGGGTTTTGTGGAAGATTGAACTTTTATTTTAAAAGATTAAGATAT